ATCAATATCCAAGTCTTTGGTGTAATTGTGCTTAATCCTCCAATCATCAACAAAAAGATTCATCTATTGATACAATCCTTGCGCTGAACAAGAAGCAGTCAAATGGTCATCTTACTGCACCCATCACATCATTGGTAATCAGGTGGTATTCAGCCCGATGAGCTTACCATCTTCAACACATGCAGCATCCACAGCGATTGCACTCGACTCCGATTACGCTTCTTACGTTGCTCATGCTGTGTAGACTGAACATGAGAATAACCGCACAGTCTTGGTCCTATGTAGCACATAAGGTTTGAGTGAGACGTCTTACAATTACCTTACATCATAAGGCTTCAGCCAAACAGATAGATCATTCGATGATTACCACCACGAATTACGACTGTTTGTCTCGAGACAGTCTACCACAAACATCCGAGTTCAGACTATTCTTAGAATATTACACTGTACATTGAAATTCTTCCATTCATATGGCCCATCCCTCTGATATATGGATCTCCGCACACAAACGAACAAGCTACAAAGCTACATCCATTGCGTATGTCAGAATGGCACCTCATCCTAGAGGAGTAGATTACATTGGATACCTAGTACAATCCTTTCGTGAGCCCTAAATCTTGCCTAAATCGGTACATTGTACCATTGTACCATTGAATGGCCCGTTCCGGTAGGTAGCCAGGCACTGGAAATTACTATGCCCCCTCGCTTGATCACAGCTGCCATTGCCACACGTTGCTCTAGAATCTTGTACGGTTCTTACAGCCACCCGATCGAAATCTCATTCAACGTAGATTAAAAATTCGGAGTAAATTTTATATTGTCTTTTGATCCTTTACTCGAAAGCCAATTAATCTACCCTCAAAAACTTTCACTCGTTTTAACTTCCTACAAAACTAGATGGTGATGTTCCAATGTTCTATATCATTGCTGCATTCACCACAAGTCCTTCATCGCGAGAAGTTTAAAGCTCTTAAACTTTTACCGAGTTCCAATACCATCTCGACGGATGCTTCCACAACACATCCCAAGAACCGAACGTGAAGACTATCCAAAGTCTAAACTCTCGAGCATCATGTACAAAATCATTGTATCTAATCCCCGACTAGCACCGGCAAGAGTTGAGAAACCGCAAAACTCAATTTCCAAATTTAATACTCCCTTCATAGTGTTCATCTTACTAGATGTTCTACTACAGTCTCCAGAAAGTACCGTACTGACTATCTTCTCACCTAAGTCACTTTGTATACGGAACTACCTTCAGCTCCACTTTTCATCTCCTTGATGACTGATGGATCTAGACCTTGGTGAAGATATTCATCATGATTCTATTTTGAACACACTTTGTCAAATTCGTGAATTATGCCCAAGAGAATGGTAGAATTACACTTCGCCGTCGTAGAATTACATTTCTCTGCACTCAAAATTACCCTTCTGTCTACTCTTACATTTTTCATTGCTGCGAACCCTTCGATCCAGCATAATCCAACAAACCTTACTGAATTTACACAACATGTCAAAACGCTACCCGTCCTGTCAGCTCCACTCATTCATCATGCAAACTTTCGTTTCCGTTTCCCTTACTTCCATATATTACCAATATCATACCTATACACATCTTCCATCACTCCAAAAATCGAAACATCAACGTCTCTCTCTCCTCCTCCCCTCTCCCTTGTTTCGCTTTCCTTCCTCCCAAAAATAAATCCAAACAAATTCACAAGCTCCACATCCATCCCTCATTTATCATCATCATCATCATCCATGTACCGATCATTCATTCACATCTCCACTTCCAATACCCATTTCATTATCCATGATTTTATCCATCCAGGACCTTCACAAAATAAATAAGAGCCAAGCTCCACCGTCTAAGCCTCCCCCTTAACTCAGCAAAGATCTTCTCCCATCTCCAAATCCCCATCCGTTTTGAGAAACACCGAAATTGGAGAGAGATTGGAGCTCGCACCAAAGAGGTATCCGGTCGCGTCGTTCATCGAGGTTATCGCGTTGATGCTTGATAGACGCGGCTTCTTTACCTTTTTCTCTGTAGAGTTCAGTTCAATGGTTGAGAGTGTTTCCTTACTATGATTGATTTCTTCCATTTGATAGGCCTTGGTACGTATGTATGTATGTATGTATATCTCTTTTGATTTACCCGCGTTAACTTCAGGAAATAAACGTAGAGGCTATTGTTGAAGAAATCTGAAGCAAGCTATTGATTTCGTCACATATTGCGCGGTTCATGATCCAGTAATGTGATCTTATTCGTCCTCTTCTTTGCGAAAGTTTCTCATGAGCACGCTTTGAAATTCGTCATCTGGTTGATATCGCATCACACCAACCAATATCACCTTCGATGGATAGATAGTCTGCAGTTTACAAACAGGTGAGATGTGGATGCATTGTGATAAAATCTCATTCTTGTCTGCCGGCCTATCTTTTCTGCATTGAAACTTTGGAGTATCAAAGTCCTTGTCCTGATACCCCTGATCTACATATATTTTCTATCACTATTTCATTCTTGCTTCAAAACTGTACGATGTTGCTTGTGTGATCATCAGCCACCCAATGCTATCTATCTCTCCACCACCACACCTAGGTATCTATCTATCTATCTATTATTCATTAATCGACGAGCCATCTATCATCCATTTCCACCAAACCACCTCTGTTCCATCTCAAATTCCAAACTCCATCCCAAACCCTCACAATTCCACACATATTCCGTCCCCTTCTACCCTCCTTCTCTACCCACAATATCCCTCCCCCCCTCTCTCTCACTTTCCTACATTCCCAGAACCACCCCCAAAAAAGCACCAAAATCAAAAAATCAAATGTCCTCGGAGAGACTCGAACTCTCGACCTTTGGATGGCTAAAGTGATTGTTATCAATCACCTCACATAGGAATATGAGACCAACGCTCTAACCAACTGAGCCACGAAGACTGGTTTTTGATCATGTGATAATTGATGAATTTTGTGTCTGTTTTCAGATTTATATTCAACATCGACTATCTCTCGAACTATGGGAAAGCTATCTTCTGAAAGATTTTTTGTGAGATTTACATGAGAGACAAAAGGAGAGTTCACGATGGAGATGGAATTCATTTACTAATTACCTAGTTGACTATGTTTATTTATTATTACTGTCGTCTATAAGTTTCTCTTTCTGCCCACTACATCAATTCATCAACCCATCAAGCTATGTGAAAATGTGAAAAGATACCAAGACCTCTTCTACCAGTATCCTTCTTGAAGATAAATAAACCGTTTCATCTTCACCCGTTCCATCTATATGTATCTATACATACCTACTATCCCCCATAACTTCTCCCCTCTTTTCTCAATTCAACACCTCCCACAATACCATCAACTCGAATCTAGATTACTATGAACCCATCCCAACTTTCCATGCTATTGATATCTTTCCTCCCTTTTACACTTCTACATATATACCACTCATTACTTCAAATATCTCACTCACATCACACATCCATTTTCACACTCACATTCAATAAGTATAAATAAACACCGATCGAACACCCGCTCACCCATCCATATTCATCTAATCTCTCCTCCCATCTCATTTCATCTCATCCACTCCCTCTCATTCTCCTTCCCATCCGCATCCCCATTATCTCTCCCTCTTCTAGATCTTCCAAAACCCATCTTTCCTTTCTATTCCCCAATCTCTCCATCTCACACATCCACATCCCTTCCTCTCCATCCCCCTCTCATCCCAGATCTCCCAACCAGAAACCATTACAAGTTCCAAGTTCCAAGTTCCAAATTTCAAATTCCAAATTTCAAGTCTCAAACCACCCAAACTCCCAATTTCCAACTACTCCCACCTCCCATATCCCTTCACCCCAAGATTGACAATAACTGCTAGCGCTATCCGTCTCGTCATTTAGCCACCACCAAGTCACATACCTCCAACACTTTCTACTTAATCCCCCAATCTGCAATCTGCAATACTCAATACTCTGTCCCAGATACCCTCCTTCTCCTTCTCTAATCTTCAACCTTCAAGCCCGATTTTATCCACCGTAGTTATTTATATTTTCCCCAAGTATCCTTCCTTCACCATCATACAAGACTGGAAAGCAATTTTGAAGCTCAGCCTCATGCCATCCATCCCACTACCAAGTAAGTATACAACACATCAAAGAATTTGCGAACAATACGAATCCAATCCACAAAGAGAAATTTCTGCACAATAGCAAGCATTTTGTCAAAGAGATTACGCCATTTTCGAGGAAAGTTTCGGCAAATCTTGAACATAGGTGTGAGGAATTTTTCAGGGCTGTCGATGTGACTATGATCCCCAAGTTCTTGAGTCTACACAAATCAAATAATCAAATTCACTTCATATCACTAATATGCATATATCAAATAATAAAAGTAGAGAAAGAACAGTAATCTTAAATTGCTATCCCCCCACTAAATCAAAAAAACTATTCTTCTAACCATCAAATCATGATTAGATAATTGTCTATTCTCAATTCAAATCGAACTAAGTTGAGCTCCATGCACAATAGCAACTGAGAATCCTCTCCAAGGCAACCTGCCTAAGGTATTCTCCGACTATATTGAAGATGTTGAAGTTCTCCGTAACGCCGAATGCTATGTATGCCACACCTCCCATCCCCGAAAAGAGTAATAATCCATTGCCCGCCATATCTACGGTCTATGTTGAAAGACTTTTATCTTCATTTGTGTCTTTTGCTGTATGTTATCCTTGAAAAACAAATGAGAAGAAACTCAGAAAATAGTGCTTTTGTCATGCAATAAAGCGCTGTTCAAAGCAGGTGTAAAAAAAAATGTGAATGATATCATAAAAAAACTCCCGCCATATATTGGCCCCAAAGGTCGTTGAGACCATGCCTTTCATCAATCATTGCGCCGTTAGATATCCGTAGGAAATACAGGGAATCCTGGTTGTACAAAGACGTTGAGTCCTGTACTGATGTTGTGTTTTGAGTTTATTATATTTTTATTTAGAACTTGAGGGTCTTTGGCTTCTCCCAGCTGAATTCTTGGCTGGTGAAGTGACCGTTCTTGGCAGTCTTGAAGTAGATTGGCTTAGCCAAATCAAGCTCCTTGACAATGACACCAGGTCTCAAGTCAAAGTTGGCTCTGATGATCTCAACAAGTTCATCAGAGGTCTTGCTGGAGGTACCATATGTGTCAACGAAGATTGAGAGTGGCTCAGCAACACCGATAGCGTATGAGAGTTGGACGAGAGCACGTCTGGCAAGTTTGGCATTGACCAAAGACTTGGCAATCCATCTAGCGACGTAGGCAGCAGATCTGTCGACCTTGGAGAAATCCTTTCCGGAGAAAGCTCCACCACCGTGAGCACCCCATCCACCGTATGTGTCGACAATAATCTTTCTGCCAGTAAGACCAGCATCTCCTTGAGGTCCACCAATGATGAAAAGTCCGGATGGTTGGATCTGAAAGGGGCATGTTAGCAAATTATAATTGCAAGATGATTACAATGAAACTTACGTGGTAGATGGTCTCCTCAGTCAAGTATTCAGCTGGGATAACCTTCTTGATAATCTTCTCCAAGATCTCCTTTCTCAAAGACTCAGTGGTGATGTTTTCGTCGTGTTGAGCACTGACGACAACAGTGTGAACCTTTTGTGGGACAACAGCTCCGTTGTCGTGCTTGTACTCAATGGTAACTTGAGTCTTGGTGTCAGGTCTGAGCCATGGCAAGCTTCCGTCTCTGCGAGCAGCGGACATAGCAGCGTTAAGCTTGTGTGCCAATTGAAGGGTCAAAGGGAATAATTCAGGAGTCTCATCAGTGGCATAACCGAACATGATACCTTGATCACCAGCACCCAATTGCTCAAGAGCTTGCTCGTAGTGAAGACCTTGAGCGATATCTGGGGATTGTTCTTCAATGGCAACCAAAACATTGCAAGTCTTGTAATCGAAACCCTTGGAAGAGTCATCGTATCCGATATCCTTGATGGCTCCACGGATAACCTTTTGGTAATCGAGACGTGCCTTGGTGGTAATTTCACCAAGACCCATAATCATACCAGTCTTGGTAGCAGTCTCACAAGCAACCTTGGAGAGAGGGTCCTCAGCTAAGCATGCATCGAGAATAGCATCGGAGACTTGATCAGCGATCTTGTCTGGATGTCCCTCACCAACAGACTCGGACTAGATAAAACGATCAGTAAGAAAATTTGTTATCGAGTCAAAGGCCAGCTTACGGTGAAAGGAAGGTTCCTTGGTTGTGGTGGGAGACCCCATTTGATCCGTTGGCTTGAACCATGATTACGGTTGGTATATGTGAGGAGATGATGGAGAAAAGAGAGTTGTGTGAGAGAAAATGGGAGAAAAAGACAAACTATTGAGAGGTGTTGTTTTTTAAAAGAAGAAGAGAAGAGTCAAGAGGTCGAGGGGTCGGAAGAAAAGGATCTATGTAGTATGTAAGGAAAGGAAAAGTTTGTGATTGGGATTTTTTGGGGGAAGGTGGGGTTAAACAAAGAATATGTCTGTGCTACGAATTCCAATTGGTTAGTAATGAAATGGGGAGAATTGCACCATCTCTCCAGGGCTGGTACAGAATACCTCCCTAGTTCCCAATAGAGACTGCCAGGCTGGCCGACAGTCCAGTAGCATATGTTCCCTTGCCTAGGTAGGTATGATACCGAACACCTCACGCTGTCACGCCCTTCTTTTCTTTTGCTTTCGCAAAGTCGCAATTTGCATGTACTTGGTAAGATTCAAAGATGTGCATGCAAGATTGATTCCATACATCCCATGTTGATTCCGTGCAGGGGTATTGAGGACGAGGGACTTGCAGTTCCAGCTGCCTTTATCAGGTTATCATGCAGATATGAGTGATGATCTGGAGATGTTGAACGGCGTGATTGGTTGATTGTGCCAGTAGTGGTTCATTGGCTTCAATCATCTAGAATACATCTCGGGCGCCGAATATTTGGATTCAATATACCCTTCGCTCCGAGATTGTTTGTGGTATTCTGTATCATTATGTTTGGCAGTCTAGATTATCACACTCACTTCATTGACTTGCCTACCTATGTAGTACGTACAAGTAGTCCTCTTGGGTAATATTGCCGCCGAAGAATTGTCAATAGATTCCCATCTCGGTCGGTTTGATAGTTTATTTGATAGGTATTGGTAGGTATCAATATGTTGTAATGGTAGTTTGTTGAGACAGTTTCGTACGGGGCACACTCGTACCGAGACGGGCCTTGCCTAGCATCCCGTAGGTTAGGTGGTACTAATTACATTCTAACTTTCTACTAATGATTATGACAAAATCTCTACGCCTTCTCGTGGCCTTCTAGAAACATTTCATTCCTCAGCCTTGTGTAAAGAAACTTTTGTCTGCTTAGGTAAGCAGGAAAGGAGAAGGCTGAACTTTCTTTTTTTCTTTTACTGATAGAAGCTACCCCACTATCAACATTTTAGAAGTCTGATAATAGGTAGGTACTCACAATTTATCATATCATTGCTTCCCAGGGCACATTGTTCACAACCAAATACAAATACTCGCATCGTCGCATATTATCTACCCATCGCTAATACCAGATACCTACCATAATTTCAAGATGAGTAAATTCGGTGTCCTAGTAATGGGACCTGCAGGTGCAGGAAAAGTAATGTCTTTCCATTCTATGCACGTCTTTCTTATATCTCCAGGCCTTAGCCATTCCCAATTCAAGTCTTAATCTTTGTGAATGTTCTCCCGAAACAAGTCAAGAGGGAGATATATACTAATCCCCTTTTCCTTTACCTCCAGACAACCTTCTGTACCGGTCTCATAAATCATCTCCAAAACAATCGTCGCTCCTGCTTCTACATTAACCTTGACCCGGCCGCCGAAACCTTCACCCACGAACCTGATCTCGATATCAAAGATCTCATATCCCTTGAAGATGTCATGGAAGAAATGGGTCTCGGCCCCAACGGCGGTCTCATCTATTGTTTCGAATTCCTTCTCGAAAATCTCGATTTCCTCTCCGAAGCCATCGAGCCTCTGACCGAAGAATATCTTATCATCATCGATATGCCAGGCCAGATAGAATTATACACACATATTCCAATCTTACCAGCTCTGGTAAAGTTCTTGACCAAGACGGGCGCATTGGATATTAATCTATGCGCGGCGTATCTGTTAGAAGCGACGTTTGTGGTTGATCGCGCGAAGTTTTTCGCAGGCACTTTATCTGCTATGAGTGCGATGATTATGCTCGAGGTTCCACACGTCAATATTCTGTCCAAGATGGATTTAGTAAAAGGACAAGTCGCAAAGAGAGAACTGAAAAGATTCTTAGATCCGGATACGTCGTTATTGGATGATGATCAGGAAGAAGATGATGGAGAGGGTGAAGCAAAGGATGCGCAGACATTGATGAAGGGGAACAGTTTCCGCAGATTGAATAAGGCGGTTGCGGGGTTGATTGACAGTTTCAGTATGGTCTCGTATTTGAGGTTGGATGTGCAGAGTGAGGATAGTGTTGGAGGAATCTTGAGTTATATTGATGATGCTATTCAATTCCATGAGGCGCAAGAACCAAAGGAACCAAATGATGAGGTGGAATATGATGAGGCAGAATAAATTGGCTTCGTTTGGGATTTTGGGAATAAAATGAAAATGCGTTATGTGGAATACTCAGACAGCTGCAAATATTGGTAGTCAAGTATACTTTGAATCTCGGCACGAGCAGAGGCGCATAGCTGGTTGGGAGGCACGGAATTTGAGAGGATACCGAACTGGCGTTAAGGAGAAATAATTGTATGATGCATAGCGTTGGCGTTTTTTTGGGTGAGTTATCATATTCAAGACTATCAAGAATTATCGAAGATTGGAGATATCTACAAATGTTGTTTTTTCTTTCATGAGCTTGCTCTTCATGATATGCCAATGTCCGCCTAACGTCGTATCATGTTCATTGTTAAAGTTGCCCCATTCGCTGATGGCAGGCGGTAATTACAACGCTCATCCAACCATTGCTGATGCTCCGAAGCATGTACCCTTCTATCCAATGCATTCCCTCACCACCCACCCATCTCTTCCTCTCCATTGCTATTCTCCATTTCCCTCACATATCATCACAAAACCCATCCAAACCCAACCCAAATCTAAACGCCAATCAAACCCACCAACCCACAATATCACAAAAAGACCTCCCCACCAAACCAACCCTTCACCTCCTCATCTCCTGCTCCCTCCTCGCCTTCAAATACTCACTCCAAAAAACATCCAGCATCCATCTCCCCCCCTCGACCAATTCCCCCCCAGTCCTCCCCACCCCCCTCTGCAAAACCATCACCGCCACTCCGCCCAACACCCCCCAAAACACCAATCCAAACACCATGCGCAACCCCCACGCCACCATCCTGCGCATCAAACTCATCAGGAAAAATATAAACCAGACCACGGCCAAAACCCCCACCACGACCGCGATTCCCGGACTCTGACTCGCGACTTTGAGCGTGGCTTCGAGGAAGGGGAGCAACAGTGGCATGATGTGCGTTATGGTGAAGAGGTAGAGGGGATGCAGGATTTTGCTGAAGAGAGAGCTGTAGGTGCTGTGCAGCAGCGGATAGGCGCGCAGGAGATAGGGATATGCTTGCATTAGGTAGGGCGCGAGATGTTGGTAGATATCTGAGGAGGGTTAGTATGGTGGAGGGGAGGGAGAGAGATGTAAGTGGCTATACCGTTGACGATAGGATTAGCTTGGATGAGAGCCAGAATATCCATTTTGAGCGAGAGACAGAGGAGAGGTTGGAGAGTGGCTTGCTTATGGATGTTTCTTTATATGGTGGAGAGTTCTGATTCTTTGTTTTTTTGGGCAAAACCCCCGAGAATAAAATAGAATACTAGGTAATAATATTCTTTCTTTTCAGTAGGAATCTTATTCGTCTTCTGGATGTTGAAACTGATCGTTCCTTCTTTACTTCTAGTGGCAGTATCTCAACCTCAACCACATTGACTTTGTCGATAGTAAAGTTCACCGTTCTAGATATTGATACTAAGTATATGTAATGTAACGTATTAAGCAACGAGAAAATCCAGCTCTGAGTGCTCCGCTCTGCAATCAATGAACTAAATCAATCAAGCAATCAATCAATCCCTAGAATCTAATAGAAAGAACCAGAAGAAATCGACGTGGAATTATTGAAACATTTTTTCTTCTGCTTTTCTTTCGGGAATCGATGAAGCGCAGATGCATATAAAGTTTGTTTATCATTATCAATTTGTTTATCGCGGTCCCCGCCATACTCCACTTTCTATTGCATTACTTGCTTCCCGGTTAACGGTAAGGTAAGCTAATGTTTTTAAAAGTTGTGCTGGGACGAGAGGTCAGGCATAAGGTTACGGGTAAGTAGTTGAAGTCCAGGAATTGGGTTAAAGAAGAAAGGAAACTTAATGATTCTGAGTGTTTTAAACATCATGTTGGAAAGTCTTTAGTGATTTAATAATTTGATAATTCAATAATTTATATCTTCATGTATTTATATCTCGCAAATACCTATGGAAGTGTGTATACTGAGTGCGATATGCGATGCAACACCAAGTTGTAAAATAGTTCATACAATACGCCAATGCTATGCTAAACCCAAACCCTACGCAATGCAGCCAACCAGTCATGAAAACCATTCCAGTAATTGGTATTAATTCAAATTACTCCTTTCAAATGCAGTTATATCATGCCAAGTCATCAATATCATCATCATTCCATCCTAACGCCTCATAATACGATACCTTTTTCTTGTAAACTTGTGTGGGTTTCATCTTTTCTAGTGCTACTGGCACATCTCTTATGTTCTCTTGGTCTTCATTCGAAGGGCCCGCAGGACGGGTGTAACCCGATATCCATTCTGATATTTTACGGACAGGAGTGTCTTTCATTGGTGTTTCCTTCAATGATATTCCCTTCAGTGGCGTTTCCTTCAATGGTGTTTCCTGTATACCAGTAAACAATGTTGAAGGTGAAGGTATTTTAATGGGTGTTTCCAAATTACTTGGGACAGATGACAGAGAAGGTCTTTTGACAACAGAATCAGGAATGCTGTTGAATAGTTGTGCGCTAGAGCGGCGCATTTGCAACGGTGAAGAAGGTGGTATTGCACCATAATCAGCGTCAAGGTTTGTAAAATTGCTCGTAGATCTAAACGAACTTGAAAGGGGATTTCGAGTTGGAGTTGCTTGTACAGAATCTCGAAAGGGGTCAAGATCATATGAAGGGCGAGCTTTGGATTGTGGTATGGTAGGTACACTTGATGGGGGGATGATGCCAAGCTCCATCTGGTCGAAATCTCTAGATCTGCCAATAGTCGATCGAGATTCCCCAAACATATCCTTTTGACGGTTGGTTTTGGGAGTGGCTTTAATCTGTACCGATTGAAATGCTTGAAACAGCGGATTTCTGACAGGCTTTTTGGATTTTCGAGGATGTCCAGCAGAGGCAGATCTTCGTTCGGCAGTCTCAACTAAAGCTTTACCAGCCAGCTCACGATTTGGTTTCTTTAGTGCTGATATGGCATCCTTCAATTCTGCATCAATGGCAGCTTGTTTCTTTGCTTTCGAATTAGGGTCTGGCGCAAGTGTACTCATATCCACCTCTCTCTGGGAAAATCTTTTGGAATTCAAGACACCACCTCTATTAACATGAAGAGGCTTAAACTCGGCAGAAGGTATGCTAGACAAGGATGGAGCTTCACTTGTCTCTCTTTTCAGTCCAGGAATGGTAGGATCGGTAGCCGACCTCATTAAGGAAATGGCTCTATTTGAGCCTATTGACATACTACGTCTCTCTCTATCATCTGTCAATACACGCTGCAGACTCTTCTTTTGCTTTGCAGGAACAGGACGCTTGGTGATAGTCCCTGGCCGAGTAAGTGTGTTTGAGAAACTTGCAGCTTTGGAAACCCTAGGTTTTGAAGCCGATTTGGTAATGGGTCCACCAAGTTTGCGATTAATCGCATCACAACGATCTGGAAGACGGGCCGAGAAGAAAGGTACAATAACTTCTATACAGAAGTCCTTGAGAATATTGTCAGTATGCTTCAAGGTATTGTTGGACGTTAGGCCAGAGCTGGTATCTGGAGCCTTGATAGCTTCACTTGCAATGGATTGCCAAATGCATAGTCGGTCAATATGAACGTCGATAAGCATCGTGAGATGATCCTGTTTTCGAGTCTTGGGTGTCCTTTCTTTGCTTTGTATTATCCCGTCGTTAATCGGAAGACTAGGTAAGCCTCCTTCTAAGTTCTCGTTTGTCGAAACTAAAGGCTGTAGAGCAAAAATCTCAAGAATTACAATCATTTGGAGTTGCGTTTCGCGAATACGTAGATTGGCTATACGAGTTTTCGCTAACTCTTCTTTAGATGATCCTGGAGCCCCGGGCTCTATCTCCTCGTCATGGCCAATCCACCATTGCTTAATGAGCGACTCCTCATTTGGATACAACCCATTCTTGCCAGGTTTCATCTTCTTGCTGCTCTTCCTCCTCTTGGGTTTCACTATAGTATCGTCGGCACTCTGGTCATGAATATCAATGGATGAGACGCAGACAGGTATACCATCACGATATTTCTTGTCAAGAAGAGTACTAGATAGTACAAGGCTTTCTAAGAATGCGATGTGTTCACTCATATCGAGATTTGCGTCAAAGTCGAGGTGAAATGCCGCACGTGCTCGTGATAAAGGACCTTTTGCAAAATATGCTAGTGAAGTTTTTGAAAGATAAAGTGATTCGAAGTACTGAGTTCGAACATTGTCAAAAATTTCAGTGGAAGTGGCTTGTGTTTTCGTCTCCGAAGCGGGTAAACAGATAGTCGCTTGAGTGTCATTTTGAGGTTCGGATGCGGGTACTTTTTCAGGCGCAACTGATTGAGGGCATGATTCTGGCAATAGCGGCGTAGATGGGCGTTTGATCATAGACTGTATCGCTTCGATGGCGAGTCTCTTTTTCTTGGTATATTTGCTTCCTTCCGGTGTGATCAATGGTTCGGTCGAGGTTTCGAAATGAGTTGAACCGAAAAGTAGTCCCTTTACCGGCACATCTGTGCGCTCGGTTTGGGCTACCACGGCCGATGATCTCAATTGATGTATGTTGATCCAAGAACCCAGTTGTAAGACTACATATAAGCCTCGCGATTCTCTCTCGACAGCATATAAAGTGCGATTGTCATCTAACCTAGCTATGAGGACCATTGGCTGATTTCCCATTCGTTCCTCCAATTCCAGTATCTTAACATGAGTCTCGAACAGTCGCGATTGGGGCAAAGAATTGGTCGCAGATCCTACGTCTAGATATGATAGTGGTAGCTGTGACCGTGGTAGTAATATTATAGGTTGGAAAGTTCGAGGTCGGGTGTTGGCTTTGGATGGATATGGCTATTTTCGAATCAGATATGGTGTTGTAAAAATAAGTAAATGGATTACCCACCTTGACAACGAATGTATCTTTCAACAAGTCCTCCAATGAATTGCCATCTCTCTTTCGCTTTTTACTTCCCAAGCTTCCTATATCATCGTGACTAATTGATTGTGAGCTTGGGGTCAAGACACCAGATTGTCGACGCGCTTGGTGAATCGACGCGTCGGAGAAAGGGGATGCATCTTGACTTGACATAGCACCCGAATATTAATATTTGTTATATCATGAGGAAGATATTTTATACAATGATCTTTAATGGATATACTGCAAAGACTGTTTGAAAAAGTTATGTTGTTGGTGAACGATAGGTAATACCTTGACAATATAAAAAGCAATTTGCAATATAACATTTTCATTTCTACATCTAGATTCTAGACGCGTTCTACACGAGGCTACCACCTGACAGGGATCAAGTACCTAAGTACTTTTTAGCATCGGAACTTTTTCTCCGACACGATCGATCATTGAAACATTTTGTGTCCAAAAAAAGAGCCCCTTCATCAGCCTTTCTGAGAGTTCGGCTCGTGCTCCGTTCCGTGGACCGTACGTAACCTTATAAGATACTAGGTAGGGAGGTAGTTATACCCATCTGCCCTCAATCGCCCAGACGAGTCAAATAGAACCATTTGGCTTGTGTATTAGAAAAGAGGGTACGACAAGCCTCCAATTCCGTACCGAAAGGTTAAGATGGATAGATGGATAGATGGATAGATATGATGTTGAAACAACACAAGCCACTTTCACTATCTGATAAACATATTCTCGTCACAGTGAACACCCGCTCGGGCATCCTTTACACTGTCGATCTTTGCATTCATGATTTCCAGTTTGTATGGCATGTACATACACACTCTGACAGAATACAACATTATATCATATGTGCTGTCCATACTGTGCTAAATTGACATCAAATGAGAATTCTCAAGATGCTCCAGCCTCAAGAAACTACAACCTACCGCTTGTTCTACAGCCTCGAGTCAAGCTCTCCCATTTTGAACTCCCCTCGCTCCCTCGCTTCTATTATGGATGGTAGCTCGGTAAATAGTGGCTTGGCTCTCGAGGATTCACTTTGAAACTCGTCAAATATGGAATCCAAGCTTGTCATTGGAAGTGAAGGATATGATCGACCTGGCGGGTGGCAAATGAGAAAATGTCGCGGGGTGAAGTAGGTATGGCTCGCATGGTTCTCTTTTTGGAATGACCATCATGACATCGAAATGAATCCCTTGCTAGGTGCTGGGTTGTAGCCGAAAAGCAATATCTACCGCAGCATCAGTAGTATTATTAGTAAACTGATGTAACGAATCTCATTGGCCTTCTCAAGCAATTAAACTCTATTCTGTATGATGGGAATAGAAGAGAATGTCTATCAGGTATCTATTTGAATATTGTTTACGGTCCCTCTCTCTCCCAGTTCATCTACGAGGCATCCAGGTAGGTACTTCTCAATAACTACTAGGTATAAGAGCTAGGTAGATATCTAACTCAAATCATTCACTTCCCGACGTCGGTATTCGGTATTCACAGACGGATGATAGAATAGGCAATAGTATACTTCGTAGCTGGGGATAAAAGTGCATCTGAAGATATCGACTACTATGTCCTAGTCAAAAGCCCAAATCGGATAATTTTTCATAATTTTGCATCACAGCGGGTCTCGAAGATCGATAATTGTGTCCCAATCAACAATCTCTAGTCCTCATCTTAAAAGCTACCCAATAGCCTTACCTACCTTCTTGAGTCTTGATTGGTATCATCTCATCTATTCCGTATAATATCTAATCGATATCTCAGCTGAGGTTACCAGACATATATAAACATATGTACCTAGGTATTCATAGGTACCTATGTAAACATACATATTCACTCGTGTAGGAGTTGATCTATATTCCTATTTGAAGCTTCTCGAAAAAGAATACCCATCTATCTATCTATCCATCTACCCATCTACCTACCCACCAACCCAGTACTCATTTATCTCTCTCGGCCTACCTACCTAGGTACATCAGTGCGAAAGTCAACCTACATTTTTTTCTCGACTCTACCTTTTTCTCTCTTATATCTTCATCTGCCATTGAAATTTTCTCCAAAATCTATTCTCCACGTCCCTGAATCGAGGTTCTAGACATTCACCAAAAAACAAGTACCACTTCAATCTATATCACCACTCTCACTCTCTTACCCCCCTGCTTTATCGGTACCAGGATGACTTCCCATCGACGCTAAACAAAGCAAATTAGGTACTTTTCGCAACCTCTGATTTTTCTAAAAACCAGTTTCACTCTTGAACATGAGCTCGGAGATTTCACCTCGTGCTGTACGTTTCACAGAAGGGGACGACAACCACAGGTTCGAATCATTAAAATCTTCTGTGATCATGGAGCGCCCACATGTTGAGACCAGCGACTCTGGAGGCTCTGGCTCTTCTGCAGATTCCCACGACTTTGTCGAACATTTAAGTCCAGATGCTGCACACGACGCACATCCCGATGCCTTTATTCCCATCGATTCTCGACCCCAGATGAATAGTATGAATTCAAGCATGCGTAGTCGAGGCAGCAATTCGGAAACAAATGGGGCAATATACAGCCGCGAAGCGGCTTTCAGCCCTCCACCACCAAAACCTCTGAATGGCGCAACGGCCAGATCTCAGAGGCCTACTGCACCAGCCCGAACTCCTTCGAGTACATATGCGCCTGCGCGGCGACCCCCACAAGCTCCATACATGTCAATTTCGGATCGTCATCGCTCCGGTTTCAAACTCGAGATTTAATAGACAAGATCCAAGTGGCGCATATCGTGCGCAAGAAAGAGCTTATGTGGCAACGGTTACGCAAAATGATCCACCTTTCGAATATTTCGCTGAACCTTATACACTCTATGTCTTGGATATGGAACAGGATCAGATACTGAAGAGGAATCCCCATCAGAATTACAATTCGATGGTGATCCCTTCGATCAAGAGACTGTACTTTTCTACAACAACGATGACATACAACCTACTCAGGAAGACTTGAAAGATCCCGCAAATAGAGAGCGTCTGGAATGGCATGGGATGTTGGCATCTGTGCTAACCGGAGACGTAGTTAGGCAAGAGAAGAAACGTTTAATTGGTAATTCAGAAAACAAAGCAGAGAACATTGGCACAGAGATCTGGCTTGGTATACGATCGAGGGTATGCGGCAGAAGCTTAGGGGCCCAGCGACGGATATTAGAAGATACCCGGGCCAATCTTGACACCGTTTTGGAGGAAATTATTAAGTTTCAGGTGCAAGGCGAGAGTGAGGCTGGAAAATCACACTATTGATCAGTGCGGGGCATAGTTGCAAAGATTGAGAAGTGTGAAAGTCTATACCCATCTCGCACCGGCTTGGAAATGGCGAATAAACTGGCAGCGTCTACACAATTCGCTGCTACCTGCGACGCTGTCATATCATGGCACAATACCACCGAACTTATCAACATTGAACTTGCCGTCCTACAAAACTGGGTAGGAAATCCGGAACTTGACTTCACCAAAGTGAGACAGCGCTCACCTTCAGGACACGGACTCTCCGATGAATCATCATTTATTGATAGGTTGCTCAAGGAGGATGGGTTGAGATCTCTACAAGGTGATAAAAGCATACTGTTAGGTGTATCTGAGGTTATCATGAAAGCAAAGAATACATTGATCGAGAACTCCGAAGGTTTTGCGAAGCGTCATTTACCTCCTTATATCGAAGAGTTACTCACTCTCATAAACTTTCCATCGCGCCTCATCGAAGAGATTATCAAGGTTCGACTAAATTATGCGAAGAAGATGCGAGAATCCACGCAACAAAACGCAATGATGGCCGAGCAAATGATTTCGCAGTTCAGAATATTATTGAAACTTGCCATATTGATTAAGCAGGAGTACCTTACCATATCAAATCCTGAGCCTGGGTGGGATTTACCACCCTGTATCGATGAGTCCTTTGACCAGGTAGTTTTAGATGCCCTTAAGTTTTACTTCAAGATGCTCAACTGGAAATTGGGCGGAAACAAAAACACTTTCAAGGAAGCTGAAGTTCTTGAGCAAGAATGGGACTTCTCTAACGAGATTGGACGACATCTACAAGGCGGTGATGTTGAAGTGGCAGAGCAATTTAGTTCTTTAACCCACAAGGCCTTCTTCCGACTGAATACCACTTTCGAAAAAGAAATGGTGAGAAAGCCAAAGGAAACAGCTTCTGAGATGACAAAGCGTTATAAGCAGAGTCTAGACTCCGTTCGCGTGCGGCAGCGTATGTTGCAAAGATTTTCCAGGGTCTTGAGTGATCGTTTCGAAAACTCGACGGACTTCAGCATTGCTTTGAAGCAGAGTGGTTTGCAAGAACTCTACTCAAGGCTTATTGAAACCGGTCACTTCTTGGTTTATACTGCAAGCATTGAGCACGATGGTATTTTCCTCATAGCCTCTCCGTCTTTGTACAATCGACCCCAAGACATCCAGTCCATTCTAGGAACTTGCTATCACACCGAGGATACACAAGAAGACCCTAGCAACCCTTATATATTAGTTCTTCGCCCCGAGATCCCAATAGGATGGGATGGTCGACAGGTCGATTCAGCTTTGATAAACATCAACATAGATTTGAAAGTTGGACATCTTCGACTTATTGCAGACGGATCACAAGCCAGATTATCAAACGCACGAATGGCGTTTTTAGATTCGATCGGAATACATCTGGATATGGTGGTTGAACAGAGATCCCATCTCAAGAAAGTGCATCTTAAATTGACCGACATCAAGAAGGTCGTGTATAAGCTATCAAACTTGATTATGGACAGCGTGGAAATTGTTCGAAAACAGACAAAAGGGTTGGAATGTCAAGAACTCATTCAAACCTGCTTCATCTTCGCTACCGAGTTTGGTCAGCGGTCTTTGCCTTATATGGATCGAAACCGAAAGCAAATGAACAACATCAAACTCACAAAGATTGCCCTGGACTGGGTGAGCTTCATTTGTGATGACTGCGTTCCTACGGATCGTAAAACATTCAGATGGGCGGTGCTTGCACTTGAATTTGCAATGGGTATGACTCAAGGCCAGCATATTTTAGCTCTAGGGGAAGATGAGTATACAAGACTTCGATCCAAGGTCTCGGGATGTATGTCTCTATTGATTTCACATTTTGATATCATGGGTGCAAGATCAAATTTGGCCGCTCAAGCAGAGAAACAGCGGGTGGAGACATTGAACGCCCAATTTAGGAAGATGGATATTAGGGGAATGGCTGATGATGAGGAATCAGCTGCGTTTGTTCTTAAACAACGTCTTGAGCTGATAGCTGATCTTGATGAAGAACGAAAGGTTATCGAGGCGGAAAGGCAAGCTCTCGGCAGAGTTCTTGAAGAAAACAATGAAGCAGACCGATCTCTCACACATCTTTCTGCTTCTCCATCCAATATCAACATGCGCTGGCAACAAGGAAACTTTGTTGGTGGTGGTACCTTTGGATCAGTGTATGCTGCGATCAATCTGGACTCTGGTCATCTTATGGCTGTGAAAGAGATTCGTCTACAAGATCCTAATCTTATTCCTACAATTGCTGCTCAGATTGCCGATGAGATGCACGTTTTGGAGGTTCTCGATCATCCCAATGTCGTCTCATATCATGGAATTGAAGTCCATCGCGATAAAGTCTATATTTTCATGGAGTACTGTTCTGGTGGGTCACTTGCAGGTCTTCTCGAGCATGGAAGAATCGAGGACGAGCAGGTTTATAATGGTGTACGCTTTGTTGCAACTTCTTGAAGGTCTAGCATATCTTCACGAAGTGGCATTGTTCATCGTGACATCAAACCAGAAAGTAAGTTATCTTTTTTGCCTCATCCATACGATCAGTTCTCTAACAATATACACAGATATTCTCCTTGATCACAACGGTGTAATCAAATATGTAGATTTTTGGCGCCGCAAAGTTATTGCTCGCCAAGGTAAAACTCTTGTCACCGCGACTACAGCCAGTCTTGCCAACAAAAACAAATCTATGACTGGAACACCAATGTACATGTCACCCGAAGTAATCAAAGGAGAGAACCCAGGACGAGCTGGTTCAGTCGATGTCTGGTCACTCGGCTGTGTTATCCTTGAAATGGCCACAGGTCGTCGACCTTGGACATCTCTTGATAACGAATGGGCTATCATGTACATATTGCCCAAGGCAATCACTCCTCAATATGCCATCACCAGACCAACTCAGCCCCCAGGGTATTGATTTCATCAAGAAATGCTTCATTAGAGACCCCAAGAAACGTGCTTCGGCACCGGAACTATTACAACACGAATGGATTGTTGCAATCAAAAACCAGGTCTCTATCGAGCCGCAAACACCAAGCGATAGTGGAAGTTCTCAGTCTAGTACTAGAGGAAGTTTCACTAATTGAGGTACTATGAGTTCTCGCCTTTGTCAACTACTACCTTTATCGGTTATACAATACCTTTCTTCTACTTTTCAAACAAGAAAACTTTTCCTTTGTATTTGCATTATTATTGTTTTTTGAGTCGTTTGGGGAAAAAGCGCAGTACATGAAGCGTCTTTTGGTGGGCATTGGGTTTGGGCACAATGGGTCGAATTGGAAGTAGATGTATATGAGGGATATACATATACACGAGACTTTTTCATCAGCGATTGAGTTGGGAGTTGGTGTTTTTCGTAGCATATATGTGTTTATGAGGAAAGTTGGGTTTAACTTTCTAACGTCTATTTGGTTGTGCGAACATAAATGTAGTGTCGAAATGATGTCGAGGGTTGGAATGAAGGAAAAGTCGGAGGCTGAGTTGAAAAGTCGGATGGTCAGGTGTAATACATTCATGGAAGCAAAGGGCAGACTGGAATCCGTTTCGCGGCCAAGGAGGCAATGGCGGTACGAGATCAGTAGAAGATGAAGTTAACACTGGGAAGCGTGGCCAGAACACGTCTCGTGGTGGAAGAATGGAAGTGGTGGTGGAGACTTGTAGTATAATCAGATCAATCATGAAACATGATGACACAGCCGGTATGACAGTATACCATTACAATAATCTTCAAATCGATTTTCTCCTGTCACATCATTGACAATCGCTCTCAAAATCCACTAACTCGGGTTGTAATATTCCGCCGGAAATATACATACCAGATGCATCGGACACTGCTCGGCGCTTCCACTCAAATGCCCCACTCCTTCTACCACAGAGGGCGATATCCGCGCTAGTGATCGACGGTTGTGGTCATGGAAAACCCAATCATGAACTATTCAATCGGGGACAAAACGCAAGGCTGAAAAGATGCCGTGAGATTTCGGAGATGTAACGGGAAGGGTCCAATTTTTTTTCCCCCAATCTAAACGTCAAGAATCAGATTACAGAAGATTGGAGACTGCGCGGAGATGCAGGTTGGGATGGAAAAGTTTTCTTCTGTGGATGGATTTTGCGATGGTAGATTGTTGGTGTGGAGACTTGTAGATGTGGATGGGATGGGTGGGCTGATGGGTTGGATGGCGAGAATGGGAGGGGAAGTTTGGAGGAGGGGTGGAGGGGTGGAGGGGTGAAGGGGTATGTATATCTTGGGGATGTTTTTTCCGTGTATTTGAGTGTTCTTTTCTTTCTTTCCTTTTTTCCGCTTGGAAGGAAAATTGAAATTACAAGGAGGTTTTTGGGAATTGCGAAGACCTTGAGTTCTTGATACGGGAATTTTGTCAATTCTAAGTTCGTAGACCTGTACGCAGTTTAAGTAGAGTCGAATGCTAATAATGGTTGCATCACAAGATATTGCCAAGCGGGATGTATCTTCGATGAGGACCGGGGGAGAGAAAAATGGTGACAATAATGCGGCGGAAGAATTGAGAGATCTGGAATCAGATGCCGAGTCTGTGGATACTAAAGCTGGGTCTATTTGGACGATTATGGGATCTGTAAGTTTTATATCTATAGGGCATTAGTTGAGGAGATGATTGTATTGATGATCATACCTAGGCAATGGCAAACTATTCAGATGGATATCAACAGGGCTTGGTAAGTTTTCTTTTCTTTCTCTTCGGTATTCCATGTTTAAACTGCATTTCTAACACAAATAGGCCTCAAGTACAAATGTCGTATTCAATCACCTCCTCGGCACCAAAATCTACACTTCCACAATCCAAACCCGAATTTCCAATGCCCTACTCATCGGTTCCGTAATCGGCATCCTCATTCTCGGTTACACATCCGATAAATTTTCCCGCAAGGGCGGCATGCTCTTTACATCCGCCCTCGTGATCATCGGATCTCTCCTCTCAACGCTTGCATTGCAAGTCCAGCCCTCCTCACACATGCTCTGGTACCTCACCATCGCCCGCGGCATCGCCGGCGTGGGCGTTTGGAAGGCGAATATCCGTCCTCCGCCGCCGCGGCGCTCGAAGGCTCCGCCGATTCCTTCGATGCGCAAAGAGGTCCCATCCAAGTCTTCATCTCGACCCTGATGGCCACAACCGGTTCTCCCACCTGCACCCTCGTCTATCTCCTCGCGCTGCTTGCCTCGCACAACAATCTCACCGTCGCCTTCCACGCCATCTACAGCATAAGCACCCTCCTCCCGCTCGTCGTCATGCTCGTCCGTCTGCGCATGACGGACGGGAAACTCTTCCGCGCATCGAATTTCCGCACACGGCCTACACCCTGGCGTTTCGTGCTGCGCACCTACGGGCTTCGTGCTCTGGGCACCAGCACCGCCTTCTTCCTCTACGATTTCGTCAATTTTCCAAATAGCATCATGAGCGCCGCCATTATCAACGGGCTCGTGCCCGGGAAAAATATCCGCACCGTCGCCATCTGGCAGTTTGTCCTCGCCATCTTCCCCATTCCGGGGGTGCTGCTGGGTATGTGGCTCGTGAACCGCATCGGACGCAAATGGACTGGCATTCTCGGGTTTGCGGGCTACATCTTCTTGGGATTTATCATCGGGGGATGTTATGGGAGACTGACGACGGCGGAAAATCTCCCCGCGTTCATCGTGCTGTATGGACTCTTTGCGAGTCTGGGACACATGGGACCCGGTGCCACGATTGGGTTGATGAGCGCGGAGAGTTTCCCGACTGCGATTAGGGGTTGGGGTATGGGGTGAGTGCGGGGTTTGAAAGGCGGGCGCGGCGGTGGGGACGCAGGTTTTTACGCCGATTCAGGAGGCGGGCGGGAAGAGTAGTACGTTTTTTGTGGCGGGGGGTTGTGGGGGTGTTGGGTGGGGTGATTGTTTATTGGTTTTGCCCGAGGGGAGGGGGTGTGGATTTGAGGGAGATGGATGAGGAATGTGAGAGGGGATGAAGGAGAGGTGAGAGATTAGTAGACTGGGATGGATTTGGAATAGAGGAAGCTTGAGAATTGTGTGGCTGGGATAAAACACGGTTGATAGTATAATGTAATCTGTCTGTTTGCCATGATATGATTATCTCGCCACAAACACATTCACCTCTTCATACTACTTCTCAAAACTAACACTCATCACCTGAAATATACACACACATCACTACCTACCCAACTCAACAATTCATAAATAAACATAGCAAATATAATCCCAACAATCATATGTATTTCAAAGTATAACAAAAACATCTCCCATTACATACATACATACATACATACATACATACATACATACATACATACATACATACATACATACATACATACATACATACATACATACATACATACCTATGCAATACAATCTCCATCCCACAAAGAACAAGTATCAACAATCAGCACAGAAAGGGAAACCCACCACAAGGAAAAAATCATTCATTCTCCCCCCCCCCCCCAAAAAAAGACAAAACAAAAACAAAAAAACAAAACCCCAAGAACTCATCCCCAATCTTTTCATAGTGCGTGCGCGTATAGAAAAATAAAAATAAAAAATAAACTAATTAGTATACATCCATTAGCATCAAATGCACCATTCATTCGCATCTTTCATCTTTTATCTTTTGAGCATTTTTATAACTAACCTTGGAATCATGAATAATTAATCCATCACAAACTACCTACCTCGTACGTATGTATACGAATGAATGAATAATTAAGTACTTCTCAAATCTCTAAACGATTAATTTAAACGTGACAGATAACCTTACTCTCTTCTCAGATTTCAAGGAGGGAGAGAGAGAGAGAGAATGAGAAGAACCCCATTTTCTCACGCGATTCAATAACTCAAGAGATATAAATATAAATTTCTTCATAAAAGAACAGCTTGATTTGAGATCGGACAAGGCAAGAAGAAGAAACGGGAACATTCTCAAATACAAGGTTGTCTATAAGCAGTACTAACTTGGAATATCATAGTGAGTGCTAGAAATTTTACATATCACCACCATTTAAATAGCGACGTAGTCATCTGCGGCTCCTCAGCACTCGAACAGATCGGCGGCGTGAAATTCATCATCCGTGCCAGAAGCACCGCACCACGACGATCGTTTCGACGCTCACGCAGGTCCCTACCCCCACAGCCACAATATACAATGCTACAGTCTAAGACTCTGCATGCGAGGGCGTCGCGCCGAACTTGAGTGGAAAGTCCATCACGTGTCCGCCTGTAGATTGGAAATGGACCGTCCATCTCCCATATGGGGCACGCCAAACAGCGAATCTTATCCCATGGCGGATTGCGGAAAGGCTTTTTCGATAATGTGCGCGGATGCTGTGGCGTCATTACCGATTAGAGATGTACGAAAACGGGGGACAATGATGTGGATATCTATACACGATTCTACTCCAATGTCGAGGAAGTCTTTTTTCTTTTCCTTTTGCTATTGCGTACTCCAGCTAATCGTCCTGCAGATGCGAATATTGAGATCTCCAAGATGCGTTCCAGGCGGCCAATGGGGACACGGGAGAATTGGAAAGTATCCGTGAAGCGTGTGAAGAAATCAATCCCTTTGAGAGCGGCTCCGAAGGTGCTGTCGAGGGAGTAGAGGCGATTATTGAGGGGACTGCCGTTGCTTTGAGAGTCGACTCATTGTTAATAACGAATAGGAGCATGGAAATATTGAGAAATAAAGTACACACTCGAGAACTTTAACAAAAGGGTTCACAGGAGCTTCGATGATTTTTTCGACAATGTAAAAATTCAATGTAGTATACGCATGTTACATACTGATTGATGATTAACGATAGTGTATTTATAATTTGTCGATGTACAAGACAATGGGTCCATCTGCTCCATATCTTTCGTGTATGCGCGTTATCAACAGCAAATGTCCTTCTTCAACTTCAAAGACTAATAAATCGAAGCGAAGAGCGAGGAAACTGTAGAAGTATTTTTTTTTAAATCACATACTAGCACTCAACATCTAGGAAGAAGAATTCATTCAAAGGGAGAGTAAGAAGGTACAAAATCAAATTGATGGTCACATTGTAACATTATACCCAAGAATAGCATCGCCACACAAGATCTTGTAACGGTGAGATAGAGTGAAAAAGCGAATGAATATCTGATTGACACACATAATGAGATCATATGAACAAAAAGCCAAGCCAAAATCAACCAATTTCTGGACATGAGCCAAACGCAATCAGCCTTTTGATTCCTAGGGCTTGGTCACAGAGATACACAGGATGGAGTTCTGTATCACGTGTGGCGTGGTGAGGGGTGAGATCACAAGGTATCTAAGTCTTCGTCTCAACATGTGCAGTGGAACCTGATGAAGGAAAACAAAAGGAAGTAATCTTCAAGAGAAAGACACAGATTGTGATATGATCTGATGAAATTTCACAGCGTAGACAAGGCAAGCATTTTAGAGATGGAGAAAAGAGGTGAGCAGTAGAGTAAACCATTCATTCACCCCATTAACTTCTCGGATCAACTCTAAGAATTGGAGCACTTGATCCAATGAAAGACAATCAAAGAAGGGTTATTGGTGAGTATCGATTACAATAATAATAACAAAATAAAAACAACAAATATAAGATTGTAGATAAAACTCTGAGCTGATATTTCGTTTAAGCCTTGTACCATTGTGGCGTGACACCAAACTCAAAAGTACTCATCTACTTTCTAAAAATTTCATGGAATCAATGAGTTTGTACAACAATAAGACCACTCATATTCAAGCAAATCATGGCAGCTGGCTTGCTTATGGGCGTACGGTAAGAAGCTCCTTGGCGATACCTTAACACTAAACCCTTACCTACACATGCGCGATGAATCTCGTGTTAATTCATGAGATCTTGTGGGGTTGACACTTCTTTCTGGCTGAAGCTTTTGAACTATCACTTGAAAGGACACGCTCAAAGATTTTGTGACTCGATATTTTTCGGTCAGAGATATTCGGAGTATTACACAGTTCAAGTACTCTTATCTCGGTCAAATATTTCCCCAAGGCTGGTTGGTAGAGCGGCTCAAAGATTCCCAAATGGAAGGACCCCGGCCGTTTTAAAATCATTCAGTTCGGAATGGATGGTTAGGGAGCGGATACAAAGGCAAATGGATGAATGAATGGCATGTTAATAGCTTTAGTTTCAAGTGAATCGAACCACTAAAGTTTAGTTCAACTGTTTCAGGGGAATTGCCCATGCGTAAGAGGCGTAGAATGTTTTTTTTTCTTTCAAGTATAGAATCATCCAGTGTCTTGAAACTAGTACCTTTGTGATGTAAAAGTTCCCGTTCGTTTAAGGTTGATGGTTCATTGTTGATGATCCGTAGTGGATATTGTTTGAAAATTTGATCGTCCCTCGATGTAGTATGTAGTATTCGCACGTAGGGTATGTATTCGTATGTATATGCAGATACATGTGGTGCGATGTTTATAATTCGGGAGAATACACCGAGGAAATGATGCGCCAAGGAGGCAGAGTTACTTTTCACACGTTTCAGCTATCGATTTGATAGATGAATTGAACCGGTCCAAATTTTAACGTCTCTTGGAAGTGATGATGATGAATGAATGAATGGATGGGTGGGTGGATGAATGGATAGATGGACGAACGATTGAATGGTACGTCTAAATTGTACCATCAAGCTTTACCTACCATTCTGGTCCAATATCTTCATGTGCGAGGGTCTCTTAGGTCTTCCCTTCCAAAGCTTCCAAAGAGATACTCCTCGACTAGAATGATTCTGGCGTAGCTTTTCAATGTTTGAGATCGTGTAGATGAAATGTCTAAGATGATCTAATCACGACGTTATTCACAAGCGCCGTGGAGTGTTGATAGATGCATGCAATGGGATTCCAAACAAGGAATCATCGATCTTCTAGAAAGCGACCGTTTTGGTAAGTTTTGAGGAGAAATGAGATCCGATCCAATCCAATCCGATCGCCATCATCAGCATCATGGTTTCCATATGTGCCTCCTCAGGTAGGTATTCCGTAGGTAGCTGGAGGTACTAGATCTGTTGTCTGTGCTGTATTGGGTATTGACTTTTGATTTAGATTGTTAACAAGCCTTGGATCAACCAACCGGATCCACTGATAAAATTACCCACCTTACCCAGACCCCTAGTCGAAATCCATTGATTTTCGAACCCAAAGAGCCCCACTCTACACTTGTCATTTATAGATGTCGGCCGAACCAGACCCAATGGAGAAAGACGGCGCAATGTGAGAATGGATGTGAGAATGGATGTGAGAATTACGCACACTTCTCATCTCGCCAGATTCTTCGCCCGCTCGTTCGTTACGATAAGAAGAATGAATACAAAGCGTCATGTTATCTCTTTCATCATGTCATGGAAAGTAGAAAGGGAAAATGAGGAGAAGGATGCTGATATGGTAAATGATATTGAGCAATGTAGGTAGGAATAGTAATACATAGGAAGATGGTGATTTTAATGCTATCATTGAATAGCTGACTCCTGACTCTCTCCTGTATAACATAACATACTTTGTTTGTACTTTTGGCGTCGTCCCCGTAAGATCTTACAATAAAATGCTATACGGCTCCTACAAAATACAGTGAGCCTCGCTTCCATCTGCCGTGGAACCACAAGGCTGTGACTTTAAGGAATGCTACATACCTAGGTAGTACTCGAAAGTGTGTCGTATATTAAGATTACATTGGTATTGTTAGTCGGAATAGGAGGAGGAATAGGAGGAGGAATAGGAGGAGTAATAGTAGTGGTATGGGTATTGGTAGTGATACAACATGAGAAAGCAAAAATCATCTGGGCAAAATTGACGGAATGAATTATACCCCATTTGCTGAGTTAAACCTTCGATCGGCATTTTGGTCCTCTTCATAGGTAGTCCCAACTCTATACTCCAGTTTTTCCATAAAGCAACAAAAACGAGTGTCAGGTAGATTTGTGAATCTGGAAATCTGGAAATCGGTCAATCCGTCAATCCGTCAATCCGTCAATCCTCCACAAGCCTTCCCCATTCATCCACAAATCAATGTTTGCATGCATCCATTCCATCTCTTGAGAGGAGGCTCGAGGATAGATAGGTAGGTACTGGGTGTACTCCGTGTTAAATTTCCATGGCCCTGAAGACCTACCTAGCAGTGCTACAGATTAAAGATATTAAAGATATTGGCACATTTCTTTCAAGGCTGATACTTTCTTTTCCACTATACCTTGGCGAGCCACCCATGAAAGCTTCTTTGCTGACCTCGGGACTTCGGGAACTAATCCAATGTAGAAAGTTAGAAGAGAGTTCAGAGCCCTTTCACGTGGGGAACACCAAAGACCACCAATCACATGGAATACCACCGTCGGATCTTCTTATCTCGTGCTAACCGGATAAGGAACTACCTTGATCAACCCCTGCATTGGATACATGCTTTTTGATAGGTCAAGACAGGATCATTTAACCCCTGTCTATCTTTTATCTTTGTATATTCCGTAGCTACAGGAAGTGTATGTATGTGTGTGTGTGGAAGAAGGATAGGCGGAAAATGGATACTGCACACGGATTGAAGAAGGAATGGGCCAAGGAATCCGTCTTTTCTTTCTTCTCTTTCGATAGAGGTAGAGGTAGAGGTAGAGGTAGAGAGATAGCGACGGGTGACTGATGGAACAAAGTAAGAAGAGATTCCAAGATCAATATGATAAGAAGAAATAATGTCCGAATTTCTCATATTAAGTTTCAACAAACGCTCCTCAATATCGGAATCACCATCCAGATATAGCAATGGGCCAGCTGAATGGGGCAAGCTGCCGATATCTTCTCCCATCTTCTTCCCTCTTTTCACATGTTACTGGAGCCCAAAGAGGATAAGGAACTTTTCTGACGATGACCCAAATCAACAGATCAACCATTGGTCCTTGTGTGGACTCTCGAGGTACGTCGTAATAATATAATAATAATATCAATGACCAGGTACGAGCGATGCAAAAGAAAAAAGACGAATCAGATGGCTATTTTAAATCGCAGCATCGAGTCATCTTTTTCTTCCTTTCTTTTAGTGGAATCATGGATCCTTCTTTGGAGCAACATAACGGGTTCCTTGTCATGATACACCTCTACATCTTCTCATCTGCACGTACAGGCTCCAGCTTCGGATAAGGTTGAATGTAAGCATGGCATGACATGGGATACTAGTAGCTTTGTCTGGGCTGTGATACCTGGGTAGCTTTATTATTACTTTGCCTGCAAATTGAACCTTTCTTTGATTGGATTGGATTGGGTTGGATTGGATTGGATTGGATGTGATTGGAATCCATAAAACTATTTCCCTTCCCCCTCCTCCTCATCTTCTTCCTTTTTTCCGTTGCGGTACTTCCCTCCAGTGGTGTCGAAAGAAAAGAAGAAAAAAAAGGTAACTTGAGTGTGATCAGTGATTAATCAATATCACTCCTCACTCATTTTGTCCCATCTTCACTCATCTCTCACATTCACCCAAAGCTTCCTTCACACACGTTGGACATACCCGACTACCTAGATAACGAACCAAAATTCACCAACAAGGTCCAACACAAGCCTCTCTCACCTTTGCAACTCTTCACCATAATCTCTTTATATAATTATAATTCTTTGCCGACTTCGCCCGTTATCTTTCCATTGAATCCTCGCAGCCCTATTCAGAGCCTAGTACCTTATCCGACTTCGGCCATCTTGGTATAATACTCTTTACTATCTACAACATTCCTCTTCTTCCTTTTGCACCCCGACTTCCTCTCACCTCCATAACCTTTCGATCTGTGAGCTTCTTTGCTAGCTACGACAACCAATCCCTCTCTTCTTTGATGATCTATTAGTCAGATCTGAAGACAACTACACCTCACTTGCTCAAGTAGAGTTATCAATTTTGGACTGAGGTCAAGCGTATTCAAGATGGTTGTTGAATACAATGGGACAAATGCGGCGGGGGGTGATTCATTGACTGAGGATCTCAACATCTTTTATGATGTAAGTCTATGTATACAAAACTCCGCAAATGAAACCTCAAAACTAACCAAGTGTAACAGGCTGGTGACATTGCTTGGATGATCACTTCCACTGCTTTGGTCTTGCTCATGATTCCTGGTGTCGGGTATGTACTTCCAAAAGATGCATGCCTGTACCACAGACTAATCTTTTCATCTTCACAGTTTCTTCTATTCCGGTCTGGCTCGTAGAAAGTCTGCCTTATCATTGATTTGGCTTTCAATCATGGCTACCGCAGTAGTTTCTTTCCAATGGTTCTTCTGGGGTTACTCTCTCGCCTTCTCTCACAGCGCTGGAAAATATATCGGTGATCTGGAAAATAGTGAGTACACCTTCTAGAACATGGTATCACAGTAAAGACTAACCACTCGATTCGAATAGTCGGCTTCCGAAATGTCCTTGGAGCACCATCTGTTGGTTCCACCAAAATTCCCGATCTCATGTTCGCCGTCTACCAGGGTATGTTCGCCGCCATCACGGTAGCTCTCGCAGTTGGTGCCGTCGCAGAACGTGGTCGCATGCTTCCAACCATTGTTTTCATGTTCGTTTGGTCAACCATCATCTACGATCCAATTGCTTGCTGGACCTGGAACGCTTCTGGATGGGTTTTCAAGATGGGTGGTCTCGACTTTGCTGGTGGAACTCCTGTGCATATTTCTTCGGGTTGCGCAGCTCTCGCATACAGTATCATGTTGGGCAAACGTCGTGGACATGGTACTCACGAATTGAATTACCGCCCGCACAACGTTACACACATTGTTATTGGAACCGTTTTCCTATGGGTTGGATGGTTTGGTTTCAATGCTGGGTATGTTTGATCCAACCTTTTTTGCTACTCACATCTTGTGTGATGAAACATGCAACTTTACTTGAAGTTTCATTGCACATGACTTGAAGAAGAATAAACTTTTTAGACAAAGAACTAACACTTGTATTTTTTTTTTTAGTTCCGCTCTTGCAGCTAACATGCGTGCTGTTATGGCCGCAGTCGTTACCAACTTGGCTGCCTGTGTTGGTGGTATCACATGGTGTGTCCTCGATTACCGTCTTGAGCGGAAATGGTCTACCGTCGGTTTCTGCTCGGGTGTTATTGCTGGTCTCGTCGCTATCACTCCAGGATCTGGTTTCGTTCCTGCTTGGGCTTCCATCATCTATGGCGTTGTCGGAGCTGCCGGTGCCAATTATGCTACCAAACTCAAGTTCGTCCTCGGTGTCGATGATGCTCTCGATATCTTCGCCGAACACGCCGTTGGTGGACTCATCGGAAATATCCTCACTGCTTTCTTTGCTGCTGATTACATAGCTCATCTTGATGGTTTTACCGAGATTCCAGGTGGATGGCTTAACCGAAACTGGGTCCAACTCGGATACCAACTTGCCGATTCTGTTTCCGGTGGTGTTTACTCCTTTGTCGGAACGTGCATTATTCTCTTCATCATGAACCTCATCCCAGGTCTCTCCCTCCGCGCTACCGAAGAAGCTGAAATTCTTGGTATCGATGATGCTGAGATCGGTGAGTTCGCTTACGATTACGTTGAGCTTACTCGTGAGGTCTTAAACGATACATCCGAGACTGGAAGCAGATACTCTGGTCGCGATACCGCTACCACTCCTTCTCCTCATCATGAGAAGGAAGCTAGACATTCCGCTCAAGACATGGAAGCTTAAATTATCAACTTTGATAATTAGCTTCAGTGTTTAGCCTTCTTTGTCTTTCGTCTTTCGTCTTTTTGGGCGTACAGCGACTTCGCATAGACATGGTCTTGATCAATCATGATTAATGATCCGTAATTTTATTTTCCTTTCTGTTTGACCTACTTCTTCGCCATGATATCAAATTCAATGTTTATTTTTTTCCAACCCAAGAAAGCTAGCAACTCACTCGAGATACCACATTTTTTTCTTTTTCTTCAATGTTTTTTTCTTTGATGTATGAAACTGAGGTTTACTTACGGCATACATCTGTACAGTGACTATACATGCAACTTTTGCGTGTAGTTTCTGACTTTTTGTATTTATTGACCATTGAATGGATGGTGAAAAAGTTGGTTACGGGAGGGAGGAGTGAGGGCTTTTTTTCTTGTGTGGTGTTCCTTTTTTTAAATCTCGATTCGGAATCTGATTTGTATGTACCGTAGCAGACAATGATGAGGAAATTGAGATCAAATGATATTAAATTATTTGTAATGAATTTTTGGAAGCATGTGATTGTATTTGAATATGTGAATTTGATGATGGAATTCAATTGGGTTCTCCATTTTGGTGAGGATCGGAAGTGGAAGTGATGATACGAGGAGGAATATCGATGGATGAATAACGCAACACGGGAAAATGAAACGAAACTCGGAACAATACATGACATAACAAAACAAAACAACTTGGTCTCTTTGAATTTATATGTGTAGGTAGGTATATATGTATAAGCATTTAATGAAGAATAACCAGAGTAATTTTAAACCCCCCTAGACAATGGATCTTAGAACGTTTGTCTTACGCTATTTTATTACGTGATGGTAATGGGGTTTCCGGGGGAGGCAGGGTGGGTATCTTGGGGTATGTATGGGTGGATGGATGGATGGATGGATGGATGGATGGATGGATGGATGGATGGATGGATGGATGGATGGATGGATGGATGGATGGATGGATGGATGGATGGATGGATGGATGGATGGATACTTGAGAAGAGAGAAAGAAATGCGGGAAAGTATAGTATTCTGAGAGTGAGGCAAAGAGATCTAGAAGTTGAGTTGGGTTGAGATGAGGAGATGAGGGGGCGGTTTGGTAATGGAGATGGATGGATATTAGTTTATGGATGATTGTTTTGTATTGGGTATTGAGTATTGGGTGTTGAGTATTGGGTATTGGGTATTGAGTATGGAATATCGATTTGGGAAATGGAATTTGAAATGGAATTGGGAATGGGAATGCAATTTGAAATGGAAAGAGACGTCATTTGCATGCTAAGTAGGTGTGTAGATACCTAGTATGTACGGACCAGTGATTGAAGAATGATTGAAGAATAAACCAGATGAGTATCTATCTATCTATCTATCTATTTATACAAATAAATAGATATTTGAAATATATATGTATTAATATTAATACTATAAGATTATCTACCAGCCTATCATCTCGCCTATCTATCTATCCATCTATTTCTTGCTATATCATATTTATTGATATTCAGTATAGTATAGCATGGAATAGGTAGGTGTATATGATATATGATATTCATAGTGTTTGTTTGTATTGAGATCAAGAAATGAGAGGGAGGTAGGTAGGTGGGTAGATATCAGATAGATGAATCATAACGGGGGTGATATTAACGTGGTTTAACAGTGGCTCGGCCATATCAGTGGGTCGGCCACTTTAAAATACATATAAAATCAGCCTTTTTCAATATTCATATTTTAATTATCAATCATTATTTTTGAAAAAGAAAAGAATATTAAATAATAATAAAAAATCAGTTATTCAAAGTAATAATTTTTTTTTTCAAATAATTCTTTTCGATTTCAAAAAAAATCAAAATTGTCATGATTTTCGTTACAAAAAAGCTTTTTTTTATAATAACTATTTTAAAAATTCTAATTTATTGAAACTAATTAGATTTTTATAATCTATATATAATCAAATATTTAATATTAGATTTTTAGAAAATTATATCAATAAATAAAGAAAGTGCACGGTTGTGCACAGACGTATTTTGTATGTAAAAATGATGGCCGACTTACTGATATGGCCTGTCACAGCGCCAACTACATGATCTGTAATTGCCTTTGTGCCTCAAATACAGAATACTAGCGCGCCCTATTTCCTATAAGTAGGGCTTCACTCTTCCATAGCTCTTCTACCTTTATAATACAATATAAGTCTTTACCTGTATTATAACAATTTGTATTATTATCAAATAAACTATTATAGCTTTATTTCCCATTTTATTTCCAAAATCCTATTAACATCTTATCCCGATTATACTTGTGACGATTGCATCATTTAGAATACTAAGGTGAAGAGCTAGAAGAGCTCTTCGGAAGGAAGTGGTAATATACAGGATTGTGGATCACATAAGGACCTAGCCGATCCACTAATATAACAGGATCGTTATACTACCCCCCCCCTTCTGAAAAGCTTGCCCTCAAGTATATTAATAGTATTCTAAATACGGTTTTCCAATCTAACTATATTATAATCTATATTCTCTATTACTATTAATATCTGATTTATAGTTTTAATATTAGTTTTAATGTTGTTTATAATATAATTCATAGTGTTATCGATTGCTTTGCGGAAGTATACGTTTTGCGGTTTCATTGTTTTTGTAAGAAAGGCTTTAAAATCAATAAGAAAAGGTTTTGAGAATTATTGAAAAATAAAATAAGCAAAAGAAAGGAGATCTGTTTGAAATGTATTTCTTATCAGTAATATTGATAAAGCAATGGAAGTATTGGTGGAATACAAATTGGTTTGATAAATCAATTGAATAAGCTGTTTTGTTATAATATTGATTGTATGAGTATATTGATATTTCGAATTGATTAGTTCCTGTAGTTTGTGTATTAGGTTTAGGATTTTCAGATTTATTGTTGATAAAATAAGAAGATTCTAAATGATATAATAATAAAATATCAGTTTGTCGATGGGTGAGGTCCGCAGAAACGGAGCTAGGAAAAGGTCTTGATTAGAGATTGTATAAATGGTTGTATCGGGGGAGTAAGTATGGAAGGTAATAGGTATTTAGTAAGCAGGCTAGCAATAGAAAGCTTTGCAGGAGTAATCAAGAGCTTAAAAAATTTATATAATTTTAATATAATATAACGATTGTATTATTTAGAATACTAAGGTGAAAAGCTAGAAGAGCTTTTTGGAAGGAAGTAGTAATATATAGGATTGTGGATCATGTGAGGATCTAGCCGATCCACTAATATGACAGGATCGTCACAATACTGATCATATCTATCATTAATCCATTGTATACTTTATTACCAATATTTTGAATCTCAAAAAACGTCAAAGATAAATAAACAAGTATTTACACTAGAAACGCCTATATCTAGTTTACCTCTATAATTCCTTTTTTTGAATTACATTTTCAATTCTACCAAAACCGATATCTCTTTCTTTATAGATCTATTCAATAATCTAAATACTATACACTTCACTACTACTCAAACTGTATTTGAATCAATTAAATCGATTATAAACTCATTACAAACCCAAATTATTATTACTCAAATTCAAGTCATTGATATTCAATTAAAGATTATCGAATTGAAAAACATAATTAAGATATTGAAGATTATTATTTATAATAATTTACAAGCTTCACTTTATTACAAATATCTTATTATTTCCAAAAAGTTTAATAATAATAAACAAAATATCATAAAGTATTAAGATTAATATATAATTTTTTATAATATAATCAATCACTACTTAATCACAAATTACAAAAATGAATCAAAATTTCAGAAAATCATATTTCTTGTTAATCTACTTTCTGACTCTACTTATACAAACAATTAGATACATTTTGATATAATTACAAACAATATATATAATTCCAATCTTTAGCTCTCTAAATAATACATTATAATAAATATCTAATATAAATTAAACAAATAATACCAGATTCTAAATCTTTTACACAAAGCTTCTATAAATTATAATAAATATAAAATGAAGAAAACCCTATTTAATAATTTTATTATCGAATTTAAATAACTCACTATCAAATATAAAAAGATTATTAAATAATAAGTTGTCAATCTTAAACTCAAAGTCTTATAAAAACTAATTAATATTTTAATTAATTATTCCAATAAACTTTTTGCTACCAATATCAATATATAAATAATCTAATAACAAGATATCTATAATGATTTAAAGAAAAAGATTTATTTTGATAATCAATATAAAAACCAAAATATTAATTTCAATAATCAAAAAAAATCTAATAAAAAAAAGCCTACTATCATTACTATAATATCTATACCTAATTCCTTTAGAAATCCTATATAACTGAATACTATTCACCAAGGCCAGCAACCCTTATTACATTACAATAAAGAATAATATTTAAATCTTAACCTCTACCTTTATTACAAAAAATCCAATCATATCAAATTTAATTATAAAGAAAAGCAATACAACAATACAAAATATAATATCAATTCAGGAATTATACAATACTCTGATTGTTCCTCTACTACAAACTAATACACTCCGAATATTTATTGTTTTCCTATTACTGATTATTATTACAACCTCGAACCCTATTACAACGCTTATAGTCCTATTTACTAGAATACATTCCCACCTACTAATCGTTTCCTGATTGTTATAATACTATTTCGATATACCTCTCTAATCCTTACTAATAGCAAAAATCTGGGTGGATTTATCGAAGGCTTTATATATTTAGATGATAGCGGAAATTCAATTTCCCAATCAAGTATATGTAACGATTGTATTATTTAGAATACTAAGGTGAAGAACTAGAAGAGCTCTTCGGAAGGAAATGGTAATATACAGGATTATGGATTACGTGAGAACCTAGCCGATCTACTAATATGACAGCAAGTCTATCTTTAAGTATATCAAATATAATTTCAATGAATAAAGAAAAAGCTGAGCTACTATACTTAAAGATTCATTTTTTTTTATCAATTTCATGATATATATATATAGACTCGATTCAATCTTATAATACCATGATACTGTCAATGTGCGGTTGTGAGCGATTTATCGCACCGCCGAGCGCATCGGGTTGCAATCCAATCGTTCCAATGATAACAATGACGACTATATCGATAACTGAAGCGAGTAGAGATGGCGATATATAGTTTATCTACAAAGCAATAACCAATCAATTCTATAAGGAGAACGGAAAGCGATAAGTAACCCTAAAGATTGCGAACGCGATTGATATGTGTATTAAAACTCTAAGCAAAATGGAACTGAGCTATGCCGATATATTAAGATCTGTATGTATCGATAGTATAATCAAGATTATAAGATAAGCCAGATCTATACAAAGAATTCCTATACTAATCATAAGAGCAATCCTAAAGGGAATTGTTAAATCCTATACTGATATACTCAAGACTGGGGGGGCGCCTCAGGTATTGAAAAGTACTAAGGCGAGTATGCTTAAAACAATGGAGATAATACAGGAGTATGAACAATGGAAGCAAAACAATTGTATAATCCTTATAAAGATGGGAAGTGGGTAATAGATAATTGCTAATAACTCTTTCGAATTGTGATTAAAGATTATAAAAACAATTCCTAAATTAAGACTCGAACTGATCTTTTCACTTTATTACAACAGGATGGGGTGAACCCTGGAAT